CCAAACTTATTGACATAAATTCATAAAATAGCAATTCAATAAAATTTTTAATGCAAGTCAACAAATGCAATGACATGGCCTTTGACCTGTGTCCCATATCGATAGGGTTAATTTTATAAGGCAATATTTAAAAAAATCCTGAATTTCCCCTACTATGACAATTGTAATATTTTCTCTCTAGTTATCCCCTCTTCTATAATTTATTTACTACATCTTCAAGAAGTATCAAATTTAGCATAACTTACTCATTATAGTGTTGTTATCACTCAAGCAAAGCATAATTTTTATAGTCTTCAATCTTATTTGTTTACAGAGCCATGAACTACAAATCAGACCCACTTTCCAAGCCCACCTGTCACATCCTCTCTTTCAGAAATTGACAATAGTTCTCTCTGACGTTCAATAGAATATTGTTTATAACCAATAGAAAGTCAGGGTTTTACTCTATCCAATAATGTATTATATAACATTTTCTATACAGAGAATTGTCAGCTTCACTTCCAGTTCAAGCTTTCTTTCTAATAGGAAACACATCGACGAGCTTAGCTGAATTTTTAATGGCTCTTGTTGCATAGTTAGAAAGTAAGAAAAATTTTGATAGTTATGTGACATATTCTGCTTTTGCATGTTATTACTCCATGTTCTTTGGAGCATTATTTTATTAAGTATAACATTATTTAGTGTAGTAGTACCATTAGTATAAAAAAAAGGTAAGGTTTAGTGTCGCCAACACTCGACAGCAAAAAAAAAAGATGACGACCTAGGTAAGTACTTTATTTTTGTTTTCATGTGTATTTATTTATTATTATTATAAAAGTAACTAAAATGTAAAAATAGGAATAACTCAAGCATAATGTAAGTTGATATCATAACATGAACTGCATGATTGCCAATTGATTTGCAACTTATAATGGTGCAAATAATAGTTAGACACAGTTCAAAGGACAATAAAACAATAAAATTTTAGTGTAAGTATATGTATATTGTTATGAGTTGAAAGCTATTTAGGATAAACAAATGTAGTTTCACGTTACAATTTGAAGTCATTCTAGAAAGAAAAAAGGGTAATTTAGATTTGTTTTTTGGTAGTTACAAGGTTGGTCAACTTGACCAACCTGATGCAGAATTTGAGTAGAGAAAATATCAAGTTTTAATGGAAAAAAAAAGTTTTATTTAGCATGTTTTAGAAATTATGCAAATGAAACTTTGCACTCGTTGTGAGAGAGTTAAAGGTACACACCATCCTGTGAAGTTAGAATTTTTCTGAAGAAGTGAAAATTGAGATGAAATGGCAAGAGACACAGACTAATAACTATTAACTGGGCGAGTACTTAAATGCTGCATATCCTCAGTTTTCACTATATTTATTATAATTTTGTGATTTAGTATTATGACAGTGATATTAGATATATATTGTTGGGATATGTGTGGGATAAAACATTTTGACCTTAGACTTTTTATCTCTCATATGATGAAATTAATTCTTTCATTCCTCAAAGGGCTGAGCTTGTTCTGTAGTTGGCATAACTGGCTGCAGATCAAAGGGACCAGGGTTTGAAACTTGATGCTGATGAGCAAAATTTGCACTGTGAGCACTTTATAAAAGTGACACTCCAATCCCATTAGTTCTGGAATGGATTTTCTAAAAGAAAATCACTAATTTTCCTGTGCCTGAAATACTTTAGCTGGTATTTATACTCCTAAAATGTTGACATTGGATTTCTTTGTATGTTCAAAAAAGTTGATAAATTTTTATTTGATAGCACTAGTAAAAATAAGTTTATGCTAAAACAGAATTCTCATATACAGATCTCTAATAAGTAGTAGTAATACTTTTGCTTCCACGTGTATCTTATTCTCAAACATGTATACTGTTAAAGTGAAAAAGAAATGTTTCATTATTCTCACATACACATAAATCTATACTGCCTAAGCATCTACCATTGTTTGGTACATTTTCACTTGTTAAGAACAATCATTATTTATAAACTTGTGATTTTATAAGAGTTGCAGTCATTAACCCTTTCAAGACAGGTCACAGGTGAAAGGCCATGTCATCTCGTTTGTTGACTCACATTCATAATTTTATTGAACTACTATTTCATTAATTTATGTCAATAAGTTTGATATCAAACTCTAGATTAAAATTCTAATTTTAGTACTATACATTACTCAATTTCTTAATTTAAAAGATGATATTAAAAAACACAGATAAACAGAGGTTTTTGTATGTCACGTTAAATGTTGAATGCAGCACTGATTCAAATTAGATGTTTGTGAAGTCAAAATACTAAGTCTATAGTTTCGTACAAATTTGAAACTCAAATTACCAATATTGACAAGCTAGAATATAAGAAGGTCTTATCTTTTCTGTTTGCTAAGATATTCCTCATGTAATAAACACAGTGTCAACCCTGCCCACCTCTTTCCATTTTTGGAAACGCTCCCTTATATGCACATCTATATATGACATAAATAACCAATTGGAAGCTCATAATGTCCCCATAGTGGCTTTCTTAGCCATTTTAATTATATTGGGTGCCATTTTTTTCTTTTGAACCAATATTTCAAGGAGGTAGGGTGTCTTTAATCTGCTTGAAATTTCATATTTTTTAGACTAAAATACATCTTAGTTACTAAGCTTGATAAATTATAGTGGAATTCTATGGTATTGATATAGTTATTTATGATTTTTTTGGTTATTCAACTGTGTATATAAAATCTAAAAAAAATTATTTTGATTCATATCCTTCACATGCAAAATTTTAAAATGCTTAGCATACCTATGTAAAGCAGCAACTGAGTACAAAAGTCATAACTAGAAGAGATAATTGTTTGCTTTACTTCTTTATTTACTGTTCTATGTTTTTAAAAAAATAAGTTTAATATAATTTATATAAAGGTAGTCAATGGGAAAATCTATCTTGCTTTACGAAATTTCACTTGAAAAAGATTTTTCAGGAACATAACCCTTTTGTAAAGCTGGGTCCACCTGTAGTTATTTATGATTTTTTGGTTATTCAACTGTATATATAAAACCTAAAAAAAATTATTTTGTTTTATATCCTCTACGTACGAAATTGTAAAAGGCTTAGCAGCCTATGTCAAGCAGCAACCGAGTACAAAGGTCATAACTAGAAGAAATAATTGTTTGTTTTACTTCTTTATTTACTGTTCTTTGTTTTAATAAAGATAAGTTTAAGAACTTATTTCAAA